GAAAGTGCTTAAACCCTGAAGTATTAAATAAAAAAAACCCTATGGAATTAGCTACAGCCTGCAGAGCCCTTGGGGGAGGCGGTGCTGCACATGAAACCTTGGAGGTCTTCATTTAACTGACATTCAGTTGAACTCTTAACTTGCTGTGTGGCCCCGCTGGAGTTACTCCACCTCTCTGTGCCTGGGGTTTCTTACCCTTAAAAGCGGTGCGGGCTACTCCACACTCCATCCTTCCCAGGGTCAGCGAAGGGGAGGGTGGAGTTAAGTCTACCAGGTGCACCCGGAGTTCCGCTACAGAAACCCTGACCACGGCCCCCAGGCTGCCTGGCAGAGACAGGGGCCACGGCTCAGGAAACAGTTGGAAGGCACCAGGCCCACGCGCCCCCTTGGGGAAGCTGGGCCCAAGGAAGCAGCCCAGTAGGACGGCGGGTCAATCCTCGAAAGCCAGATCCCTACTCTCTGCCTCGGTTTCCAGGCACCGTCTCCCCTCCCCCCACCGCCCTGACTCCCACCGCGACCCAGGCAGGGCGCGCTCCAGCGTCCCTGGGGCTCAGGTCCGCAAACGACTGTGAACGGAACACAGGCGGGGGCCTGGCGCCCAAGGAGTCTGTGCTTGGGTCGGGGCTAAGGGGCGCGGAAACTGCCGATCTCCACCGGGAAAGCCAGGAGGCGCGTCCGTCCGGACCGGGTCAGAGCACCTGGAGGAGCTCAGCTGCGGCGTAGACGCGGGCGCTTCTTGCGCTGAGCATTAGTTGGTCGCGACTTTGTGCACAGAGAATGCGGAGCCACTGTGACCAGCGGCCCGCTCCCCGGCCCTGTCCGCGCCGTCTGGAGCCCTGGGCAGCCGGAGTCCGCGCCCGCCACGGCCCGTGAACCGCGGCGAGGCCCCAGCCCACTCCCTTCACCTCGCGAAGTTTCTTTCCCGCAAGGGGAAGGCGCCCCGGCTGTTCCTTGTCCTCCCTCGCCTGCTACGTGAGCTGCAGCTTCCAAGACTTGTTACACGGGTTTGATTCTAAAACCTGATAAATTGTATTTAACACTATTTGAAATTTTTAAACGAAATTACTCAAAAGATTTTTAATCCTGGATAATTTTTGTTGAAAGTCTAATTATACATCACCTTAATTACCAGCCCCAGCCCCCCAAGGATCTCTAATTGCCTCCTAATTGAATAAAACAGGGGCTAATCGGGCCCGCCGTGGCCCAGTGAGCTGTGCTGGCCGCACCTCCCCGCAGGGGCCCGGTGGGGGGAGCCCCTGGCCACCCAGCCACCTTCACCCAGCGGCACTCGACAGAGAACGGGGAACCTGGTCCCTTGTCCTGAGCGCTGTCCAGAAGGGGGTCTCGGGAGCCTCCAGGCCAGGAGGCCTGGCCAGCGCCTGCTCTGAAAAATCACCCTACAGGACAGGGAGTGCAGCCCCAGGTGGGCATCAGGTGCTGGGGGACCCTAGCGTGAAACCAGCGCCTGACCAACCCAGCGGTCGCTCCACAAACGGGCCTTGGCAAGCCCCTGTCTTGCAGGCATCCCCAAACATGACACACCTGCCCGGCTGGTGGCAGAGGCAGGGCCTACAGGGCACACGGCCCACTGCCTTGGGGCACCGGGCCCTGGCCGCCAGCCCTGCACCCTGCCCCTCCACCACGTCCTCTGAGATTTCGCCCGAAGCGGGGCAAGACGCTGGACTCGCGCCGGACATTTCCTGGCGCTGCAGCTCTAACCGGCATCCAGACAGAAGCCTGCCATCCCAGCCCTGGGGAAGGGACTGGGAGAGGGGGCAGACTTCCCCGGGGAGAGTGGGAGAAGGGCAGGGCCCCTCCAGCCTAGCCCGTTTCTGCCAGAAGAAGGAGCGAGGCTGCGAGCTGGGCCTCCAGCCCCTGCTCACCTCCACCTCAGCTCCCACACATCTTCCACTCACACATCACACCCAAACACAAGCAGCGCACAGTCCCACATCTAGGAGAGGTAGCTGCCCTCCCACCACAGGGGCTAGATGGCAGTTGGGGGAGGACGCTATCCCAGTCTGGCATTATGTGCTGTCTAGGACAGGGGGTCTGTCATCTTGGTGGGGATCAGGCCTCAGGGGGCAGCTCTGATGGGGACGCTGGCTGTAGACACAGCCCCTGCACAGAGGCCCCAGCTGTGCTGTGAAGAGGGTGGAGGTCAAGAGGGCACCTCGGTGGTGCTAACCCCACCTGCCCACCTGGCTCTCGACCGAGACAATGAGCTTTTGTTAGGCATTTAGTTTGTAAATGCGGGGCCAGAACAGCCCCACTTCCTCACTACTCTAGCTGCCGGAAGGGGGACCCTGGCCCTGCACTGTCCTCACTCTGCTCCTGGTCCCCCAGCTCAGGTTGAGGGGGCCTTGGGTTTCCCATCCGCTGAACCACAGCTTCTATCCTTGGAAAGCCCAACCCAGAGCCCGCTCCACGAGTCCCGGAGGAACTACCAACTCCACCTCGCAGGCCCTGCAGGAGCAACACACCTAGACCGGGGTCTCCAGGGAAAAACAAACGAAATCACAGCCGCGGATGCACCGTCAGGGGTGGCTCCCCGATCTCTAGGTCATGGGGTCACATCCTCTGGCCTAGGCGTCCTTCTGTGCCCAGCACCAGTTGCAGGCACAGCCCAGGGCCCAGGGGTGAGGGCAGTAAGAGCCCCGAATACTAGCCTTGAAACCGCGACCTTGCTCCTGCTCCCCCAGCCCGGCCCTGGTCGGGATTCGGTGGGGAGGGGAGATCTGTGGGCTGCCGGTGCCCGTCCTACTGCCTCAGATGCAGGTAATGGAGTTTGGTCCCCGGGGATGTTCACATCTGCTTAAAATATTGTCCAATAAAATGAAATTCCTCAGCGGATCCTGCGCTACTCAGGGCAGGCAGCAAGATCTTGAGCCGCCTTGGGGGTGCTAGGGACAGCGGTCCCAGCTGTGGAGCTGGGAGGGAGGGGTTCCCAGAGCTCCGCCAAGAGTGGGCTTGGGGTCTGGGCCTGGCAGCCATTCTCCCATCAGCTTTTTCTCACTCGCGACTCCCAGGAAGGGAAGCCTGGGCTCGCGGCTCCCACTGGGTCCCCTTTTCCAGTTCTCTGGCCCCCGGGCCAGGCCACAGGACGCCTGCCAGGCCCCGTTCTAGTGCTGAGCAGATTCCGGGCCCGGGCAACCTTCCCCACCTGGCAGAGGTGGAGGAGGCGGAGAGCTGAGACCAGGCTGGCCCCCGCCGCGCAAGGGCCTCTCTCGGAAGTTTCCGGGCCGCGCGGGTGCGCTGAGTTGGCCTCTCGCTTGCAGCGAAGGCCCGGGAGAGCGCAGCGGCTTTCCACTTTCTCGCTCCGGCTTCGGGCCCTTCCTGGCAGGGCCTGACCGGCGCGGCCCGCAGCCCGGTGGCGGAGGCTCCGAGAAGGCCCGCGGTGCACACAGACCGACATGTCCACAACACGCACACCCACCGCAGCGCGCGCACAGCCCCGCACACAGCCCCGCCGCGCCGGCTGAGAACCGCAGGGGCCTTCTTCGCACCAAGAGGGGTCAGAGGTCACGGGAGGCCGAGGCCAAGGGCACGCGGCAGAGGAGCCTGGCTGGAGGGGGTGCCTCACCCAGTGGCCCCAGTGGCCGGCGGCGGAGCCCAGGGGCGTCTGGCAGAAAACAGGAGCTGCTTTTCCCCGGCGGGCTGGGCGCGCGGCCTACGGCTGAGGGGGCCGCCGCTGTGGACAAGCCAGGCTGAGTCCTCAGCCGAGAGCGGAGCTTCTTCGGAAAAGTGCCGCCAGCTCGCGCCCACCGGGCTTTCGCTCGGGACTCGGCCCTGGGTGCTGCGAGGCCAGGCCGGGCAGGACCGGGCCCAGGCGGTGCGGACGGAACCGCGTGGTGGTCGGGCGCGGACCTCGAGGGGAGCAGGTCGGTCGCCTCTTCGGAGGGTGCGCGGGCGGCCTGCGGAGGAGGGGGCGGCAGGAGCGGGCGGCGCCGATTCCGCTCCGCGCGGCGCTCGCCGCTTCGCTGTAGCCGGGCCGAGGCCGGGCTGCGGGAGCCGCGCTCTCTGGGCCGCGGCTCCAGCCGCCCCCACCTGCCCGCCAGGGCGGCCGCGTGGGCCGTAGTCCCCAGCCCGCCGGCCTCTCAGCGTTTGGCGCCCGCGGCCGGGACGCGGAGGGCGCGCGGGCTGCTCGGAGGCGCGGCGGCGGGCGGGCGGGCGGCGGTGCGGGCGGCGGGAGCACCCGGCCCGCTGCAGGGACCGGCCTGCGGCAGGCTGGGCGCGCGGAGCCCCGGGCTCGGGCCGAGAGGGAGCGAAAGAGAAAGTAAGACCGGGGACCGGGCAGTCTTGCTGGGGCAGCGCCGTCCCCGCCTGGCCTCGCGTCTGTGCCAGGCGAGCGAGTGCGGGAGGGTCCGCGCGGGGCGGAGGGCGGCGGCGGCGGCTCGGAAGGCGGCCGGGTGGCGACCCTCCTGTCGGAGGCACAGGCGCCCGGGCTGCCCGCGCAGACTGCCGGAGTCACAGAGGAGCGCCCGCCACCACGCGGGGCACCACTTGGGAATAAACTTCACGACCACAGTTCCAAGCCCAGGAAAAAGTCTCCATTTTGCTCCCCCGGTGGCTGCGGCTGTGCTGCCGTTGCCACCCCTGCCCTTGCGCCCGCGGAGCCGGGTGGGCGCTGGCCCGCGCCCCCTCCTCCGCCCCTCCCGGCTCGGGGTCCCCTCCTCTGCGCCCGGCCGGCGGACGCCAAAGGCGGTGCTCTAGCGCCCACTATTTCAAAAGCCCGGAATATGGTTTGACCAGGACTGGGAGCCACTCGCAGAGAGGGAGGGAGAGCGAGCGAGGAGGAAAAAGTTGACACCCAAACACAAGCAGCGCACAGTCCCACATCT